CAAAGTAATTGGTAAAAATAGTTGTTACTGATTGCATGTTGTAGCAATCTGTCAGCATGGTTTCATGTTGTAGCATTTTGACAGCATTGGTCGACTGGAAATATTATTTACATCTCACCCGGAAAGTCATACACCCTAGCTTGCTTTTATATTTTGTTATCTCCTGTTTTTAGTTGTGTTAACTCTGTTCTAATCTAAGTCTTCGAATCGCCTTCTGAAATCATTTCCTTAACTCTACTTTCTTTTAAACTTTTACTACGATCCCTGTGGACGATATCCGCTACTTGTACCACTTTTATTACTTGAAAGACGATATTGGGACTATTTGTATACTTGCTTTTGATCCTGATTGTAGTCTGTGGGTTTCCACCCATCAAACATTATGGGGAAATTTTTGAATTGGATCTCGATATTGAGAGAACGTTTCGCCAAAGAAGGAGGGCTCAAAGAGCAATTTTTGCTCTACTCTCTCCCAACATGGAGTTACCTCCCCCAATCATCCTTGAGATTCCACATTTAGAAAATCAACTGTCTGCCTTTGGGACAATATCACCTTTTTCGAATTTTCAGCAAGACACCACCATCATAATAATCATAATGAGGACACATAGTCGAAAAATAATGAACAACAAAGAGAGCAAACTCCGAACATCATTAATTTGGCAAATTCCAGAAAATGGAAGGATCATGGACTATGTCATCCCTGATTTTGAACAATTAAATTCCGGGATAGTTAGGCCGCATATGACCGCTCTCTATTTTGAACTAAAATCGATTATGTTTCACATGTTGCAAACAAACGGACAATTTGCCGGATTACTTTCGAAGGACCCACACTCACATTTGAAATCCTTTATGGAAATCACTAATGCTTTCCTGATCCCGGGAGTGTCTAATGACGCTATGAGACTCACTTTATTCCCATTTTCCCTGAGGGATCGGGCAAAGACATGGTTTAATTCATTAACTCTGGGTTTTGTGCCTTCATGGAGTAATATGGCGGAAAAGTTTTTGCAAAAATATTTTCCACCAACCAGGAACGCTAAGTCCAGGAATAAAATTTGCCTTTTTAAACAAATGCACCCAAATTTTTCATGGAATAGTCCAAGTTTGAACCCCCTAGTCCATAAGCAACAAGGAAACCCTAATTTTCAACAACATCAACATGCAAGCTATTCTAATTCTCAGAATCACCATCATCAGAATTTTCAAATTAATCAACCACCTTTTCAGACTAAACCACCTCCACAGTCCGATTCATCATGTTCCTTGGAAGCTATGATAAAAGGACTAGTGGCTCAGTCCCAAGCACAACAGCAAATGATGACTCAAAATCAATCTTTATTCAATCAACAAAGTGCTGCCATCAGAAACCTAGAAACACAAGTCAGTTAACTTGCTCTTAATCAGAATAGTAGAGCCCTTGGTACTTTACCTAGTAACACTGAAGTCCTGAGAGATCTAGGAAAAGAACATGTGAAGGTAATAACTCTTAGGAGTGGTAAGGAATTAACTGAGACCATACCAAAAGAAAGTGAACAAGTTGTCTCTAAACCTGAGACTATACCTATGGTCCTTGTTACTGAAAGTCCACCAAAACCTTTGCATAACCCACTAACTGAGACCACCACCTTTGTTCCTCCTAAGTCGGACTATCCTTTGTTATTTCCAGAAGAAGTTGCTAGGAAAAAGCCAATTGAGGATGAGGTTATAACCGGTCCAAAAACCAAAGTTGTAATCTCATCTGAACCTTAAGAAAGTAAGACCAAGACTATAGGTACTCCGGACCCATCTTGCTCAACACAACCTAACAAAGCCATCATAAAGCCAGTTCCTCTTTATGTTCCTTTTCCCCAAAGGTTAAGGAATCAAAAGGAAGAATTGCAATTTAAGAAGTTTTTGGAAGTGTTTAGAGCATTGCACATCAACATACCTCTTGTTGAAGCAAAAGAGCAAATGCCCAGTTATGCCAAGTTCCTTAAAGACATTTTGAGTAAGAAGAAGAAGTTAACCGAATATGAGACCGTAGCTCTTACCGAGGGATGTAGTGCGCTTCTAACCAACAAAATACCCCCTAAGCTTAAAGACCCAGGGAGTTTCACTATTCCTTGTTCTATAGGTGGAAAGGAGATTGGTAAAGCTTTGTGTGACCTAGGCGCTAGTATCAACCTTATGCCCTTGTCGGTTTTCAACACCCTAGGCATAGAAGAAGCTAGACCCACCACTGTCACCTTGCAATTGGCCAATAGAAGCATTGCTTATCCAAAAGGTAAGATTAAGGATGTCTTAGTTCAGATTGACAAATTCATCTTTCTGGCTGAATTCATCGTCTTAGATTTTGAGGCTGATAAAGATATTCCCATAATCTTAGGAAGACCTTTTCTAGCCACTGGTGGAACCATGATTGATGTCCAAAAGAGAGAGCTAACCATGAGACTCCAAGACCAAAAAGTCACATTCAATGTCTTTAATTCCTTAAAGTACCCTGATTACTTAGAGGAATGCTCAGGAGTTACTGAGATTAAGACAATGTGTTATGAGAAAGAAGTTAGGAAGGCCTGTAAGCTAGAGGAGGAGGATAGTGTTGAGATAGGTGATGATATTGTTGAGGATTTAGAAGGTGATGTCCCATCTGATGTTGCAACATTTGAGTTGTTGGACAATTGTGAGCTTAAGAATTTTACCCCGTCTACAATTTCACCACCTGATCTGGAGTTAAATCAAATACCATCTCACTTGAAGTATGCATTTTTAGGAAAAGAAGGTAAATTACCTATCATCATATCATCTACCCTAGATTTACATCAAGAAAAGAAGCTTGTAGATATGTTGAAGTTGCACACCAAAGCCATAAGATGGACCATTGCTGACCTAAAGGGTATTAGTCCTTCTATATGTCAACATAAGATCATCCTAGATGAAAAGAACTTCAAATCTATAGAGGCTCAAAGGAGATTGAACCCGGTCATGAAAGAAGTAGTGAAGAAGGAAATTTTGAAATGGCTAGACGCCGGAATAATTTTTCCAATAGCCGGTAGTTCATGGGTTAGTCCAATCCAGTGTGTCTCAAAGAAGNTGAAGAAGGAAATTTTGAAATGGCTAGACGCCGGAATAATTTTTCCAATAGCCGGTAGTTCATGGGTTAGTCCAATCCAGTGTGTCTCAAAGAAGGGAGGGCTTACAGTTGTCACCAATGACAAAAATGAAATCATCCCTACAAGAATAGTGTCTGGTTGGAGGATATGTACGGACTACCGTAGGCTAAACAAAACCACTCAAAAGGACCATTTTCCCTTGCCTTTTATTGATCAGATGTTAGCCAGGTTGGCTGGAAAAGAGTATTATTGTTTTTTGGATGGATACTCCGGACATAACCAACTAGCCATATCACCCGAGGATCAAGAAAAGACCACTTTCACATGTCCCTATGGTACTTTTGCCTTTAGGAGAATGCCATTTGGAATTTGTAATGCTCCTGCAACATTTCAAAGATGCATGATGTCCATGTTCTTTGACATGCTTGAAAAATCCATAGAAATCTTTATGGATGATTTTTCAGTTTATGGCTCATCTTTTGATAATTGTTAAATCTAAAAAGGAGTCTTGAAAGATGTGAAGAGACTGGTTTGGTTCTCAATTGGGAAAAGTGTCATTTCATGGTCAAAGAAGGAATTGTTTTGGGCCTTTTGATTTCCAAAAGAGGAGTTGAGGTAGACAAAGCTAAACTTGAAATCATTGAAAAACTACCTGAACCAACTACTGTCAAGGGAATATGAAGTTTTCTTGGTCATGTTGGGTTTTACCGAAGGTTTATAAAAGACTTTTCAAAAATCTCAAAACCTTTGTGTTTACTTTTGCAACATGATCAGAAATTTGATTTTACAGTTGAATGTAGAAATGCATTCAACACTTTGAAGAAAGTTTTAGTAACCGCGCCAGTAGTTGTTGCTCCTAACTAGAACAAACCCTTTGAGATCGTGTGTGATGCTAGTGATTGGGCTGTTGGACCTGTCTTGGGTCAAAGAAAGGAAAAAGTTTTTCATTCAATCTATTATGCAAGTAAGACCTTGAATGAAGCACAACTTAACTACACAACAACTGAAAAAGAACTTTTAGCTGTGGTTTTTGCTTTTGAGAGATATAGATCATATTTGATGGGAACAAAGGTCATTGTTCACACTGACCATGCTGCCATCAAGTACTTGATTTCCAAANTGGTTTTTGCTTTTGAGAGATATAGATCATATTTGATGGGAACAAAGGTCATTGTTCACACTGACCATGCTGCCATCAAGTACTTGATTTCCAAAAAAGATGCTAAACCTAGGTTAGTAAGATGGGTTTTGTTGTTGCAAGAGTTTGACCTTGAGATAGTGGATAGAAAAGGAGTAGACAACCAAGTTGCAGACCATTTGTCAGGATTAGAAAAGCCTAGGGAGACCCTAGAAGAAGGAGAGATTGTTCAAACATTCCCCGATGAGAGAATTCTATTGTTAGAATCAAAGCCACCATGGTTTCCCGACATAGCAAGCTATTTGGCTTGTGGAATTAGACCTTATGATATTTCTGGCCATATGTTCAAAAAGTTTCTCCATGATATCAAAACTTACCTTTGGGATGACCCTTACTTGTTTAAAATAAGTGCAGATCAAATCTTAAGGAGGTGCATCCCTGAAACTGAAGTGGCGGCAATCCTGCAGCATTGCCACCAAGCAGCATATGGAGGACACTTTGGAGGCCAAAGAACAACTGCTAAAGTATTACATTCTGGATTTTATTGGCCTACTCTCTTCAAAGATGCCCATAATTTTGCACAAAGATGCAATGAGTGTCAAAGAAGTGGATTTATTTCCAAAAGGAATGAAATGCCACTTAATGGGATCTTAGAAGTAGAGTTGTTTGATGTATGGGGGATAGACTTCATGGAACCTTTTCCCCCATCAAATCATTGTCAATAAATTCTAGTGGCTGTTGATTATGTGTCTAAATGGGTAGAGACCATGGCTTGTGTTACTAATGATGCAAAAACTGTGGTTAAATCTCTTCAAAAACATATTTTTACAATGTTTGGTACCCCAAGAGCTCTAATTAGTGATGAGGGTACCCACTTTGTAAATAACCTGATGAGTGGAGTTCTTGAAAAGTACAACATTAACCATAGAATAGCAAATGCCTACCACCTGCAAACCAATGGATTAGCTGAACTCTCAAACCGTGAAATAAAAGGAATTTTAGAAAAGGTTGTCAAGCCAAACCAAAAGGATTGGGCTTTCAAATTAGATGACGCTTTATGGGCCTACCGGACTACTTTTAAAACACCTATCGGTATGTCCTCATATAAGCTTGTTTTTGGTAAAGCTTGTCACCTGCCTTTGGAACTAGAACACAAAGCATATTGGACCATCAAAGAATTAAATATGTGCCCAGATATGGCTGCCAGTAAAAGAAAAGTCCAGTTGTGTGAATTAGAGGAACATGGGAATTTGTCCTATGAAAGTGCCAAGATTTACAAAGATAAAACTAAAAAATGGCATGATAAAAGAATCCAACACCGGGAGTTAAGAGCTGGTCAGAAAGCTCTTTTGTTTAACTCTAGGTTGAAACTGATCCCGAGAAAGTTCAAGTCCCGTTGGTCTGGACCTTTCCTCATTCATAAAGTTTATCCGTATGGAGCAGTTGACCTAATCAATCCCGAGGACAATTTTGTGTTCAAAGTTAACGGTCAAAGAGTGAAGTTATTTAATGATCCGGTAGAAATTCCAGAGTTATGCTCTGTGAATTTTGTTACCCTTTGCTAAAAGCTTCGATATTTTTTGGACTTTTTATAAGTCCAAAATTTGTGTTTGTAAATATTTATATTTGTTTTAAATTTTGTTTTTATAGTTATTAATATTAATAATAATATTATCGTTAATTTTTGTGTGTTTTGCAGTCCTGTCAGTCATCACAAAGAATCTGAAGTCTTGCTGCAGCATCTGAAAACCCTAGCCTTTCATGGAGAATCTTTGAAAATTTTAAAGTCTGAAATTTTTTGAATGGAAAATGCATGATGTCTTTCTTAAAAATTATTTTTTTTAAGAAATGGTCATCTCTTTTAATGCCAGCCGATTCTAGTACCATATACAAGGAGAAAGTACTTAGGTGTCTTTGAGAGGACATTTGCTACCAACCTTTCAAACACATCATTGGTCAAAATTTAATTAAAAATGACTTATGTTTGAAAGCTTCTGGTTGATATGAAAAAGAAGCCTCCCATCCAAGTATTCAAGTACCCACACCTCTTGCATGCTCCCAATGCTTGCATCACCTAACCTCATCTTCTTCCCATTTTACCCTCACCTTTTGAAAAAAAAACCCACTTGTATTATTAAAGAAAACCCTCTTTTCTCTCTTCTCATTTTCCTCCCATTCCTCTAACTGTCGCTCCCGACCGATAACCATCCCCCTCCCCCACCATCTCCAATGTTTGAAAATGGCAAGAGTAAAGCGAGTCACGGTTCGTGATCCTCCACCATCGCATGCATGGGAACAGTCGCCGGGGGAACCGCCTAACCCGCCACCGCCGATGGCCACTGCCGCTAAGCGTACCCCTATTTCCTCGCAAAAACAGCCGGCGAGGAGAGGGAAGAGAATCCCTTTTGTGCGAAAGAAAAAGGGTGAGTCATCTACACTCCTTATTGATGAAGACTCACCGTCGCCGTCGCCGTCGCCGTCACTGCCACGGTCAACCACTCCAGTCGCTGTCAACCCCATTCCGCCAGAAGTGCCAATAGTCGTGCCTCCTCTTCAAATGGTGTCGTCCGCTGCCATTATACCCTTCACATATCCTTTGAAGAAAGTCAAAGAAATGGTGAAATCCTCCACTGTGCCGATTCCAAAGAAGGCCCCAATCCCAACTTCATCTCCGACCACCACCAACAGGGATTCAATCGAAACTTCTCAAAAGGTACAATCCTCATCTGATAGTACACCCTCTGAGGGCCTCTTCACTTCTGATTCTGAGGAAGAGGAGGACCCTGCCTCTATGGCACAAACAGGGGAGATTTTTATGGAAAGTGAGGCATGCAGTCTCGAAAATATCACGGTTATTGAAAAACCGAGGAAGCCTCTACTTTTGACTGCCTCTGGGCAAGATACAGATGATGAGGATGATATGCCTCATGTTGCTCCTCATGATCCCATACCCGACCTCAATGAAGAATTTTTTGGGAAAGAGGATGAAGAACCCCCTGTTGAGGTTATGTCTATGAAAAGAAGGTTGGTGAAGGCTTGTGATAAAAATAAGTCAAAGGCAGTAGTTGATGAGGAACCACCTAGGGAAAAAACCCGGTCTCAAAGGCTTATGGTTGAGTCACCTAGGAAGTCTGAGACTGATGTTGTAGCATCACAGCAGCATTCCTCCAAACCTAAGAGGAAAAGGGTGGGTATGGCCCAAAGGCCAGCCACCATTCCAAGGCCAATCAGACCCCACAATGGTTTTAGTTCTAAGGCTGCTGAAAAGATGCATGCTAGGTTCCAGAACAGGGTTGGATTCCCAGACAAGGGATTTGATAGGCAAAGCATTAGGGAATTTGCATTCATAAGGGAGGTGGTAGAAGCTCATGGTATAGAAAAGATGTGCATGATTCCAACTTCCTATAACCTGACTCTTATTAGAGAGTTCTATGCTGAGTTAGCAGCAAATAGCACATCCAAGAAATCTATTAGGAGGGTGACCTTCATGTTCAATTCTAAAGCCATCAATCGGTTGTATGGCCTAGACCCCCCTAAGAAGACTGATTACTCTAGAATGGTGAGGCATGCGACCATAAAGGACTTGACTGAGGTGGCTGATGAGATAGGGAAACCAGGGGTTGTTTGGGATGAGCTGTAATAGTCTGGTTTATTATTTTGGTTTTAATTATATATATATATATATGATAGATGAAGGTATATGGTGTGTGTGAAGGTTTATATGAAAAATATATATATTATAAAGAGGTAGAGGGGTCGGCTATTAGCCGCCTCTCAAACCCTTGTTCATATGTATGYATATAAAGTTTTTGGGGGAAAGAAACACACACAAAAACACATACTTCATTTCTCAAAAACTCTCTGAAGAAGTTGAATTGCAGCAAGGAGAAGAAATCTACAAAAGCTTTGATATTCAATTCTAAAAGGTGAGTGTATTTGAGCTTTGAATATGAATTGCTTCTTACAAATTGAAAAGCATTTAGATCTGATTATTATATGTTTGAAGACATTTTTATGATGATATTTATGTATACCGGCCAAGTGGTGTCCGGATTCTAATCCGGATACTTAAACCGGATGTGTTGACCGGTATACTCTAAACCGGACAAGAGGTGACCGGTGTGTCTTATAAACCGGCCAAGAGGTGAGAGGTTTATTTCAAACCGATTGTATCAAAAGGTTTGTCTTTAAACCGGCTAAAGAGAGTGAACGGTATATTCTAATCCGGTCAAATGGTTAAATGAGGTGTTGACCGGTATACTCTAAACCGGACATAGGGTGAATGGTGTATCGCCCGGTTTATTCTAAATTGGAAAATGTTATTTTTGAAGTATTGTCCAGATTACTAAACCGGACAAAGAGTTGGTTTATTTTCAAAGAGGTTTGACCGGACTTCTAATCCGGATGAAATGAAAAGAATGTTTTGGAAATATTTTTGAAATATAATGAGCAGTGTTTACTGCG